TGGTATGATAAATGATGGTACCAGGATGTTTTGAGGAGATGGGTAATTAGGTGATTGAAAGGGACATAATTGACCTTGAATTATGCAGTGCCTGATTTGATGTTTTCAAGTATCCGTTGTTATTCTTGTTGGCTGCTATCATGGTTTGCTATGCTATTGAGCAGCCTGTTGTGTGTTACACTTAAGGTCATTCATTTGCAATTGTCATTTATTCCATGTAGAGATATAGAAATGACAGTCATTTGGTAATGTATTATACTTGCAAGGTACACAAATGTTTCACAATACAGTGCTTATTTGAAGCTGTTTACTTAATGAAACCAATTTTTAAGATGGACTTTTGAAATGTAATTTAAATACAACCACACTTTAAATACAACTGTTATAAGTGCTTTATAGGACACCAAACAGGACATTGTGTGGGACAATTCAGCTGCTCAGTAGAATGCCATTGGCGATAATGTGTTATCTGAGGTTATTCACTGAAGCCTCGTCTAGTGCATGATGCAGCATTGTTATCTGTTATGTAGACTGACTTTAATGAAAATTGCATTGAATGGTAAGTTTAACTCATCCAAACTATAGTCTTCTAATGTGCTTTATGTACTTTTCTGAATTGTTTTAATTTGGATTTCCCCTTGAGACATTTGGTAATTCTTATAATCTAATGGGTTGTGCACAATAAGTCTGAGCAGATATGTGTAGCAGATTGGTGACCGTGATGGCAGGTGGGAGGGACTCTGAGATTTTCTGCATTCCATGAATGCCCCATTTGGTAAGAACATTAATTACTGTGCCGCAGTCTTGGCATTGCTCTTGATCATGAGCTCGTAAGCGATGCCTTAATGCAGTGCTTACCATCTCTCAATGACACGGAGACACATTTATGACGCTGTGGGGACCGGCTTCACTTCAATTTATGGCTTGTTTCTTGAAGCTGGAAGTGCTATAAAATCTTGATGCATAATTTTGACGTACGCTATCTTGTTTGAATAGTGCACAGTATTAGGGATGAAACAATTTTTATTGTGTGAGAGCAACTGTACGTACATACTTGAATGCGTTGGTGACGAATTTTACTATTATCATGGGGCAAGTAATAGAAAGTGAAATGTGAAAACTGGTCATGTCACGAAGCCACGTTTGTGCAGTGAAACTTGCTGACCAATGGGCAGTTTGACCAAACAAGATGTTCGCGACGATTCACAGCCACCGCCGCCACCTTTGTCAGTATGATCAGTCCTACCACACAGTGACATTGGACAAAACCGCACAGTGGCATTCAATATTGAATGTGCGTATATGCTCATAATGCATTGCGTTAGTGTTTTTAGTGGCACGTTTAAATTCCGGTGTATTCGGTATATTGTTTGGCTTGGAGCATGACTATTGCCAATGTATTGTTTTTGTTCAGTTTAATTTCACATTGCCGTTATTGTACTTGCAAACTCAGCAGGGAAAAGCTTAGGTGGTTAAGGTTACTTTGGTGGCCACTGACCTGGCTTCCGTGCAGGGGTCTGATTGGATGTGAAATAAAATAGCACATTCTGTCCACACTGATTGTCTCCAAATCTGACGACGCTGCTCAAGTAATGATGGCCGAGCAGGGAATGTGCGATCATGTACATTTAAATAGCATAGTGATACAAAGCGCTAACAATTTTAGCCATTTAGGGGCAACAGTTGAATCGGCCGCAGGTGTGCTGAGGTAACACAATGGTACCTGAGCCCAGGGAATAATAACGGGCATGTTTTTATGCAGTAGCGCTGCGTGTTGTTGCCACGTTCCTGGTGGCACATTGTAGTAGTCAGTTCTCCTACAACATGGTCGTTGCGTTCCTCAAGAACGCCGCGTGAAGGAAAGTTGCGTTATAATAAACATTGATTCAATGGGGGTTAAGGGGTAATAGGTTTCGAAAACACCACGACTCAAATTTTTCTTGCCAGTTTGTTTTAATATTGTTGATTTTTAAGTGTTCTTTTATAATTAAATTATAACATGAAAATGGGTGAAATATGCACGTTACAGTGTTGTCGCTAAGCGATAGACAAACTTAGCCATTGAGGAGGGTGAGTAGAGAAAATAATGAAGGGTATGAAGTGATAACTCCTTGTAATGTGGCAGTGCGATGGAAAACAAGGTTAAAACAAGGTTTTAACAAAGGGTTTAACAGTGCTGTTTATAATACGGTTTGTTTATGGAAATGGGTAATTTGCATTGCAATGATGACATTTGTATCATGAATAATATTGCTGTTCTATATGAAAGCAACCATATCTGTAGTTTTAATTGCTTTAACTACAGTGGTATGTTCAAAATATTAAATCCATTATTGTGAATATTCTCGTGAGTATGATGCCCCTCATACATTAAATTATATTGTCTCTCTGCATCGGATTTAAATACTTTTTAGATTATATGGGTTTTATGAATGCAGGCAGGTGTTTTTAAATTGCACCTGTGAAATGTTTTACACTGAGGGTATGCATCTTTCAAATATGTTAATGCTCTTTTATTTGTTGGTCTTTGCTTAAATTTAGACTGTTGAATAATGAATTGGACTTTATGTTTAGTTTTTTATTGTCTGTTTACTTCAAATTTAATCTTTTTTCAATTACTCATTTGGAATCTCCAGAACAATCATCGACCTACAGTGCGGAAACTCGGCAGAATTCTTGCAGTATAGGGTAATGATTGATATGCTCTGAGACTCAGGGTTTCTGTATGAACAAACACAATAATACATTTTTATTTTTTTTATTAGCTTTCATGGTTTTTTCTTCCCGTTATTTTTTATTCTCTGTGCTTTTAATCATTGCTGTCATTTATATTTTGTCATGTTTGTAATTGTTTGACCCAGCGTGCCTTAAATATGACTGTCTTAATGAGCTCTCGCCCCGCTCCAAAAATGAATGTCCTTGTGTGTTTGTACCACATGTATACGTACGAGCATGTGGGCCCATATGCCGTTAAGTGGCTGTGATGTAAACCTGATGAATGTTCAACTGCAATCTGGACCTACAAACCTCATAAATTGAAAAACATGAAGAATTATATACAGTTCCCGAAATGTAAATTAGGTTTCGTATAAAATTGTCAACATTTTAATTATGGGCATTTTTTAGACTACTTTATTGTCACCTATCACTCGAATATAAATGTATTTTCTGCTAATTATTAATTTAAATTTGATCCTCGTTTTTGTCTTTGGAATGCATGAAATGGGGCTATTATCGGAGGCACCGCGTTTTAGAAAATGCTTACATCAAACGCACGATTTAAATAAACGCCTGAGAAAAACAGCTCTGACATTATTTGGCAAAAACAACGTAGCTGTTATGCTCCCATAAAAGCCATTGTAGCTTCTTGATGCAAGCTTTCTAATTTTTGTGCCTCAAATACTGCACTGCAGGTACAAGGCATTTGCACTGCTCATTAAACCACTTCTATTAACATATTCTGAACATTGGCACTGCTTCATTTTAGCGCAATGTTTTTTTATATAAAAAAATATTGGGGTGGTGTTGGCATTGCAGTTTTCCCATTATTGAGTGCGATTATTATCGTTTTTAACATTTATTTCATACACCATTTGGAAGTGTGATAGCATTAAGTATCTTCATAGCATTTTTTTTCAAGGTTTCATTTCTTCTCTAGTCTTCTTAGGTGTTAGTTTCAGGGCCTCCAAAGCCTTTGGTTTAATGAGAATTAGATTTTTTTTTCTTTCCAAAGTTTCACAGATTGATTTTTTACTACATACCATTGTTTCCACCAATTGCTGCAGTTTATTACAACGTCATACAAGAGACTATAAAAATGTGCATTTAACGTGCATGAAATGTATTCAGTCTGAATCACATTTGAAGTAAAAATATATCAATATTTTTATGGGAATAACTTTATGTATTCAGGGCCTTCTTTTTCAAAGTTGAATTTTCCTTAAATTCCACAGTGTTTGAGGTTATCTTGGTTGTTAAAGTCTTTCCAATTTTTTTAAAAGAAAAGCATTGTTTTACAACTTTGACCTGATTTCAAGGATAATCCAACCGGAATGACAATTCAATCATTAGAGCAACTCTCCCTTTTGGGTTAACTCTGCATTTTGTTCCTGCCATGAAATTGCACATCACAATTCTTTGCTTGAAATGTGATATCACTTGTCAGCAAATTATAGGTCTCCCGTAAATGCCATGGAGTACTTTGATGCCCACCAAATAATCTTTGTTTCTTGCTGATATTCATTCTCTTTGTACTTTAATAAGATTCTTGGCTTATACATATGGCAAAGAGCAAAAGCCGCTGGCCTTATTTTAAAGCTTTTTAAGGCAGCTGCTGGGACTTGGTTTTTAAGTAGACGTGCCCAATAAGCCACCCAACACTGGGTGCTATGGTGTGGCCTCACGTTTGCGTAACACTGTTGCTGTATCATTTTCAGTTAGCGGTGCTGTCCTGTGTGTGTGTTTTTTCTCAGTTGCGGAGCACCGGCCCAGATGCTCAAAATTCCAAACAGCAACAAACATTACTCTTGAATCTTCTTGGTTCTTTCGGTAAAGTCATGTAGAAGGGAAATAATAAAATAATAAAAATTTACATAATAAAATTCTCATGACGTTTCAGCCACAACGCAAGCAGCCGTCCTCAGGTGAAGAACAGGGCTGTCGGAAAGACAGATAGATAAGAGTAAATACGTTTCCTGAATTTATAGGTTATAAGAACTTGAAAACAGAGATGATGAGAGGGAATTCCAAAGTCAAGCAATGCGAGGAAAGAAGCAGAAGTAGAATTATTGTGACCTGCAGCGTGGTGGTGGTGGTTGAACGCCGTGTGTATTGAGACGACACTGGGCCTGGTAGACCAAGTCCTCAACATGGGTGGAAGAATCGACGCGTTAAGTTTACAAGACTAGTAACTATGGTAATGCTATCGCAGCATGTGCTTGTGGGGCTGGTGTCCTGTTCTGCCGAGTGACACGTGCGATGCACTGCTGCTGTGTCCGCAGTTTTGGACATGGCGCGCCACGTGCCACTGTACCGGGCTCTGCTGGAGCTGCTTCGCGCCATCGCCCTCTGCCCGCCGCTCGTGCCCCTTCTGCTGCCCCTCTCGGGAGGGCCACCCTCCGACGTCCAGGAGGACTCTGAGACCGCGTCTCAAGGCTGCATCTCTGCCCTGCTCACAAAGATGAAAACCTGTGTTGACACGTACAGTAACAGACTCAGGTGAGAGGCACACACACATACACTGCCAGTTCACAAGGTTGCAACTGAAAAAGAGCTGTAGGGCTGCGTGTGAACCAGCTTGTGACCCTGTTGAGTGGTGGGGCACAGCTGATCGCATACTACACGTGAAGAGTATGACTCACTATGAGATATGTTTGATGAATGTGATATTTTCAAATATACAGATTGTCCTCTGAATCATCAGTATTTTCTTTCATCTGTGTTTAATTGAATATTGAATGGAAGAATAAATTGCGGTGATGTAAGTCTTTCATTGCTTGGTTCCATAAAATTGGAAGATTACATTGCTTGGGGACAAATTTTATTTCAGGACAAATGTTTGCTTAGACGCTGTGAATGTTTGTAGTTTAGCATGCTTTTGTGGTAGGAGCGTCTTGGCTTAAGTGGGTTTTATTTAAGGCAGAAAATGACCTGGAAAAATGTGTACCCCCTTTTATTTAATCTTTGATTGACGTGTTCTTCCTTGGTAGGGACTTTATGCTTTTACTCATTTGTACCAGTTACCAGTGCGTGAGTGCAACAAGAAATTTGGCTGAACATTACCAGATTTCTCATTTCTCGTAAGACTTTGAACAGGTTTGAATAGCAAGTGCAAACCGCATTGTGGAGTGACTTAATTTGTTTAACTATCGGGCTTAGAGTTACTTATATATTCTGCTCCTGAATTCCTTTCTGCTCATATTGGGATTTTTTGGGACATATTTGCAGGAATGTGTTTTTTTATATTCTTTGGGTCTTTCGGTAAAGTCACGTAGATAGGTTCAAAAATATTACAAAAAACTACGACGTTTTGATCGCAACACAAGCGATCGTCATTAGGTGGAGAAAAGAGAAAAAAAAGAGGGGTTAGCCTCGAAGGCAAACTCTTTATAAAGGTTCAAAATGGGCTTAGCCCAAGTGTCAGAACGGAGTGGGCGGGGCAAAAGAGCCCTTGGGGGAGCATGAGCGGAGGGATTAAAAACGTGGGCCTCGGCATATTGAGCGATGAAGGTTCTGAAGAGATGCCGCAACACCAAGGTAATACCAATCTCCTTTACATTGACATCTGCTGCTGTCACATCTTCTAATGCTAAACGGATCTTGTTCAGGCAGGCTTAGCCCTGATCTCAGAGATAATACGATTGCTCTGAATTGAACTAGATCTTTTGGACAAGACACTCCTGAAATCACACTTAACATTGACAGAAAAAATGTCTACATCTGATTGGGAACATGTAGATGACATGACAGCCTCTTCAGCCGCTTCAATGTCGGCTAAATGCAAAGATAACCTGATTTCCAAGTTCAACTTCCTTTCCAAGAAGAAGCCAGATCCACACATTAACAAGTTAGACGTTGACAAGGTTGTTATTAATCCGAGTAATAGTCCAATTTCTGACAGCCTAAAATCGGTTCTAGGTGAAGGGTTGAATTTCGCAGTCACCCCTAACACATCCCAGTGCATGATATTATTGCCCAGGTCGATGTAGCCCTTAAGGGTTTGGGATACATCACTGCAGATGTGGCAAGATCAGAAATCGCTGCAACTCTTAAAAGTGCTAAGACACCTATCAGCAACATCAGTAAGGATGAGCATTTTGAGCTATCTCAATAAAAAATATAGGACAATGCCACGGTCATCATGGACAAAAGCACATATAATAACAAAATTCAGAACCTACTTAATGATGGTAGCTATACAAAAATTAAAAGAGATCCCACGAACAGCCTCGTTACAAAAAAACAACAATATCATCACTGATTTGACTTCTTTAATCGAACAAACCAAGCGGTTTCCCTAAAACCCTCTGCTGCTAGACCACCCATATTGTATAGGCTTACCAAAAATCCATAAAGAGGGTACACCCCTTCGTCCTATCGTCTCCACCATTGACTCACCCACCTACAAACTGGCCCGATTTCTGTCTGAGACCTTACAACCATTCACTGGTAAGACCTCCTCAACTGTACTTAACTCAGCTCACTTGGTATCGTTAATTAAGAACATCTCACTATCTCCAGGTGATTTGCTCATTAGTTTCAACGTAGTCTCTTTGTTTACCAAAGTTCCTGTGCCTGACACCATTGCAATCATTGAAGGTTTGGTCCAACAAGGACTGAATGCTGATGTATTGGCCCTGGGCTCATGTGCCCCGCCTACTCCATTCTGTCACTTGGGCTATGCCCATTTTAAACCTTTATAAACAGTTTGCCTTTAGAGGCTAACCCCTTTTTTTTTCTTTTTTCTTTTCCCCACCTGATGACGACCGCTTGTATTGCGATCGAAACATCATAGTTTTAAAAAATGTTTTTAACCTATCTACGTGACTTTACCGAAATGCCCAAAGAATATGAATTCCTGCAGTCACGAAAGCTTTAAGTCAATGTATTTTTTGCAGGATATCTACTCGTTCAGCTAATATATGAAGTTGGACATTTTTCTTTTTTAATAACGACAGCAACAGCAGAATTTACTTGACAAAAAATGTGCTGTGCACCACAGATTATATTTTAAAGTGTAGCTTTGTACCAGGGATTGTATATGTATAAACAAAAATTGGCTCTTCTTATTGGCCCTGAAAACTTTTTACTTTGGAACCCAGCAACCTTTCACGGCATTGCGGAGGCGGAATACGAAATGCAGTTCTCAACTCATCGCTGTACAGCAGACAAACGTAATGCACATTAATGCTGCCACACACTTTAAGCTCATTTACATTTGCTTGGCTTCCCCGTGAGTTTGCACTTATCCATTGGTTTGCAGCTCTTACTCAGTTGGCAGCTATGCAATCCAAATCTCCAAAGCCTTAATTTACCTGCTATGGACACTGCTTTAATAAAAATGTGGTGTTTATTACAGGCCCCCACAGTTTTTCAGGGTCATATCAGCTGTCCACCCACGCTAGCTGTGTGTATTATGTTGGGTAACAGTCGAGGGGCCACAGGGCGTGACTGCGTGGTCTGGGGTTGGCTTAATATGTGATGGTTATTTTGCTAGGACTCAGGAACAAGATCCCTGTGTTATTAAAAAAAATCACGGATGTGACTGGGTGGCTCATAGGTCATAGCGCAGAGCTAGCACCGCTGAGATCTTTGGATCGAATCCAGGCGGCCGCCTGTGATTAAACCAGGTTCTCAAGTTCAGTGAGTTGATGGACACAGCCCACTCGTCAGTGAACGCAATAAAAAAAAAGCCATCAAGTTACATTTGTTTCTACAAATAATTTGGCTAAATCCCAGCTCTGGGAAATAAAATATCGGTTTTACAGTGCTTTGAACATTACTCTCATGCAGAGTGAATGGTGTGTGCTCAGAGGTCGTTGTGTCGTTTGAAGAACGACCTTTGAGATTCCTTCAAGCGACCTTTCATAGCCCACTTTATAGCACTCAGCATTGCACTACTTCATGGGAGCAATGGATTTTTAATCTCATGACTTGACAACCGATAGCACAATCTGTATCACATTAGTGAACGTGACAATGATTTTTTCATTTTTTTTAGATGTTCTTGTTTTAAAAATATATATATTTTTATATTAAACATATTACTTTTGTCAAAAAATGTATGGGGGTTAAAGGAAACAAATAAAGTGCACCGGAACATTGAAGTGATGGTGCTGTAAATTTAGGTTGTACTCAGGAAATGGAGCAAGTTAGTGACTCATTTCTAAGAAGCATTATTTATAATGGGGGAATGATGGGGAGATGTAATGTCTTGCAATTGTGATGCACATTTGTCTTGGTGAAGTGGAAACCTGTAATTCACATTGCAACTGGGTTCATTGGCAACTCCTCTTGGCTCTAACCCCGCTTGTTTTGATGTCTGTGTTTGTCACGAGAATCTCACGCCATCTATAGACAGTTCGTTGGTGTATTTCCTATTAATCTTGTATTTTCACGCTCATTTGAAAATGTAAAAAATGTTTCGCATGAGTGACATCGTTAAATATCTGCAGGTCAAAGAAGGAACGGGGCAAAGCCAATGGGAAAGTGGATTCGGAAGCCGAAGCAGAGGGCCTCACCCTGCTGGTACCTGACATCCAGAGGACAGCGGAGATTGTGCACAAGGCAACCACCAGCCTCAAGCAGGCCACACTCGGTACGCTGGCCCACCAGCTTCTCATACTCATGCCTCCATTCAAACCATGTGTATTCCCTACTGTGCTCCACTCCCAACTGTTCACGTGCGCTTGTGTTTTCCTTTAAACCACATTTTTAGCATGGTTGGCTACGTATGGTGCGAATTAAGTTCTACATACATACATACATGTACTCATTACCACATTCCACTGCCACTTCATACACTTGTTCATGCCTACATTCGAACCACATCCACTCGCCATTCTTCTCCACTAATATCCCTTCTCACACGAAAACACTCGTGGCCAACATGCCGGACTTGCTTGGGCCCACTAACGCTTTCTCACTTACTCATGTCAGCATGCAGGTTCGTGATTGCTATCACACTCGCACCAATCAGCTTTTTTAATGCAACCACTTATGATCACTACAGAATTCTACACAGGCCTTTGGTTTTTGTTCACGTAGTTTACGTACACTTTTATCAACTCGAAAAAAATCCCGCTTTTCCTAGCTAAGATGTACTTTTGGAATGTCCAATACACTTGTTTGAACAAGGTCCTCCTTTCAGCTACTTTCTGGTTAAAAATAAATGTACGGTTGGCTTGGATAACCTTCCTCATTCCCCATGGGAATACTGCATTGCTACAATTGAGCGTATTGCTATTGAATCTTCACTGCTTTTGTGTATTGCCTAATTTATAAGGACTAATAAACAGTTAATGTTCTGTTAAGCAATTTGCACTTAAAGCTATTAAGATGGTCTGAACATTCGGCTTAATTTTCCTTTTCTTTATTCAATTGCTGTCCCTTGCTTTTTTGCAGATGTTTGTTTGCAACACGCATCTTAGCTCATCTTTCTGTAGTTGTAAAAACAATTGTTTACTCATTTGTATAAGTGGTAATGATAATTTTGGTGTAGCTAATGTGTATTACGTACAGATATACTGCAATGTTATTGATGTCCTTTGCACGTTGAGTATTTAGTTTTTTTAATTAACACTTCAATTCTAATAATGGCGCCAATATCTTCAGCTGTATTCAGGAAACCAGATTTGTTTTTTTCCATTTTGTACATCCTTCATAGGACACAAAAACTTCCATTTCCCTAATTCTGTGGTTTTATGAGAGGCGTATGAAACTTTTATTGAAATTGTTTCTCGACCAAAGAAAACGGACAGAAAACTTAAGGCTTATACAAATGCTGCGGAGCATTTTAAATTGGTTATTGCATGCAGTGCGAGTACATTGCCTACAATACCCAGTAAATCCTACAACAATGCGAGGCGTTGCCTGTCTCTCGAGACGAGACAGCCTTCTGGAATGTGTGCACTTTCTTGCCATGGAGCGGATTACTTGTTCACACGAGCAGGGGCAAGTTCTTGCAAGTTCTGTTTGCAGAGCTTTGTGCTAAGAATGGTGCTTTATGCTGCCTTTGCGATAGTCGCACAATGGATATGGCTGCCACATCAGGAGTTGTGTTTCGGCTGCCCTTATCTTGGTTTGCTAGGTGACTGTCCTTGCTAGGGCAAACAGTGTCGCTGTTCAGCTTCGATTTTCATTTCTTCATATCTCTGCTTATATCAAAGTGCTGCCTCTGCACAAACCTCCCTTTTTACCCTTTGCTTGCTGCCTTTCAAGCTGAGATTTTGAAAAGTGCAATGTGGTGTGAGATCATGAATTCTGAGTGTGGCTTCTTGGAAAGAAAATAAAGGTCTGTTCTTAATATTTCCTTCAGTGTGTTCCATATTTTTATTATCCTGTTCTCCTTGTTGTGGCACTTGTTCCAGGAGACACCTGGCTAAATGTTTGATTCGTCGCCCATTCTGAATTTCAGACAAACAAGATCTTGAAAACAGGAGTATTTTTTCAAGACCCAGGATGTCTACTGCTGGAAAATCAATGGAGGAAAGATATGTTTCCATTATGAAGGACTTACAGTTTGGTGAGTAATTTTGTCCCAATTATTTGGCACCTTTATAGCCTCTATGGGAACCCTATGTTGTTTTTCAGAGTCTAAGCGCAGGTCTTATGCTTTCACGTTATGCAATTCAGAAATTGCCCAGTTAACAGTGTGCTAATTCTGCTGAACTGTTCGGAGGATTGCTTCAGACCTTTATTTTAGTGTGGCACATGACATAATTTTGCCTTGATTATTATTACTTTGCCATTTATCAAATGTTGACGCACACGGATGATTATTTGCTCACGTGTTGTGAGAGCATTACCAGGTATCATTTCAGTACCATTCGTCTTTTCCTGAATGCACAATTGTATTCCATCATTGGAAACCTTAATAGCTCAAATTTGGCATCATATCTGAGCCTCTTGAGATATTTATTGGACTACCCAACGTGTTCCCCACAAAGCAAAATCACGGGTCGTTTCCACTGCTCAGTAGCAATGATTTTTAGTGGCTGCATCCATATGCATACACGTTCACATCACTACCTCAAGCTGTAGGCCCTACGTTGGCTTGGGTCAATTGGACCGGACGCTCACAGGCCTACGGCTGAGCAGCCGTGTTGCGAAACATGATTGTCGCTGGCCGCCCCCCCCTACACCTGCCTGCTTGCCTGTCCCTGTATTGATTCGTAGTGCAGCAATTGAGGCGATTGACTTTTGATTGGACCATGAAATAACCGTTTCGGCTAACGAGCAGTTATTTTCTGTGACACACCATGGTATGTTATACCTGAATCACATTGATGTGGTTCAGTATATATAAAAAAACATACCTAAATACAGCATGTACATGTGCTGTAAGTAATATATTATGGTTATTGATAAATCATTATTTAAATGTATTCCATTACTGAAAATTATGAGTGCCTTGGTGCATGACTAGTTAATTACATTATGTGTATAATGTTCGGCTGTTTTTTCCTTTGGCAATTAAGTGGCTGTTTTGAATACACAATCATCTATCAGTGGCACATGTTTTGGCTCTCGTGACAATGAGCTGCAAGCGGCTCCAAGGGGACAAGGACTGTGGTGCTTTGGTTGAGCTTCATTCTCCAAAATTTTGAGCATTCAACGATTGGCGAATTTTTTTAGCTGCATTGAGATATTGGTGCTTTTTTCATTCCCTATTACTGTATACTATGTGTATTATGTAACGTGTCATTTATGTGTCTTATTTGTTTTATTTTATCAGTGGAGAGCTTTGGTTTTCATGTCGTGTAGTGCATTTATTGGGACTGGCGAGCTAGCGCCCTTTCCATTTTTAGATGCCGAAAAATTGTTCATCGATTTCCTAATGCTCGTATTTCTCCGCAGGCCGTTAAAGTCACGGCACGAGTCAGAAAGTTCTGTTTCAACATGTGATGCGTGTGCCTTTAATGGAAGGTGGCTTTCAAGTGCTATAGATCTTACCTTGATTTTTTTTCTCGTGAGAAAATGTCTCTCCATTGTAATGTAACTCATTAAGGGGGGAAAACTTCAACGTTTCTCCTGTTATTATTGACAACTTATGCAATGTCACGTCTTTGAGAACATTCAGTTTTCCGAGGTCCGCATTTTGTGTGAATTTAACAGATTCAAAAGTAACGCGTTTAATATACTGTATAAAGATTTTGCTTCGGGCCAAAAAACCTCACAGTTTTTTTAAATGATTGCCGGGTAAAATTAGCAAATTACTCATTTTGGGCATTTGGTAATTATTGTACGTGTGCAATGTTCACTAATCAAAATGCTAGTTTACGAACTCAAAGTATTTTGCATGTATTTTTTTATAATGCAAAACAGGCTTTAGTGTTCTTGGGTGTTTAATGAAAAAGAAAAAAAACGTGTTAACCAGCCACAAAATTCAAAAGTTTTTACAAGCTTTGTTAACACATTATATGAGCACGGTATCTGGCATTAATAGACTAATTTACGTATTAATGCTTTCATTTTTCTTCAATACTCTTGACCCAACGTAACGGTCTTCGTTTTTAATTCCCGTCGATATTTTTCACCACTGTTTCGGTCGCCGTGTGTGACAAAAAAGTGTTGACGTTTGCGTGGCAGACACGTTTGAGCTGGTGTCCGAGGACGAGGATGGCAAGCTGGTCTTCAAGGTGAGCCACCACTACATGTCGCAGGTGAAGAGCGCCAACGACAGCAACGGGGCACCGCGCGCCCGCCGCTTGGCGCAGGAGGCCGTCACCCTCTCCACCTCACTGCCGCTCTCCGCGTGCTCCAGCGTGTTCGTGCGCTGCGACGAGGAACGGTTGGACATCATGAAGGTGAGCACTGCCGTGCACGTTTTAAATCAACTATCGGTTTTCTGTTACCATATTCTCTGATGTTGCGGGTGCGTCTCATGATCTGGGTGGTGTATGTGTGTGACTAGCTTTGTACGGTGTTATTGTATTGACGCCGGGCAAAACATTAAGAAGAAGAATTAACATTTGTAAGGCGCATTTCATCCGTAGATCCCAATACTTTTGGGAGTCTTATATTCCAGAGAATACGGTAATGTTGTTTTGAAGACGAGTTGATGGATCGTGTAGATAATGTCCAATGAATGTTCCAGCCAGTAGGGTTATGAGATAGCCATCTGATGACAGTGCAGCAAGTAGGCTACATACCTCTTCATGTAATATTTAGGGCTATTCCATCCTATGCTTGTGTTCCTTCCAGTTTCCTTCACACGCAACAACATATACTCGGCAATTGGTCAAACATCCTCAGCAAGACCCTCCTGAAAATGAGTCCACGAGACGCATTAATTCTGTTATACTAATCATTATAGCTACGAAACAAAACAATATCCATGACCTAATATGAACAGTCTGCAGACATATACAGGAGCTCCAACGTCTTGAACACTTAACTCATTCAAAGCTTAATCAAATTAAAAACCCACATGCCTCATGCCGCTGTCAATGTCTCTCTGGCTCACGTCGTGTTTGAGTGAGTTTCTATGCAGGAGTTGGCTCCGTCTGGTTTATCATTTTCTTTCGAGGACCTTGAAAAAAATTTCTGCAGCACTGCGAGTGAAAGTGTTCCCGATTAGTATTGCTCCTTCTTCACATCATTAAAGGAGAAAAATATACAGTGAATCATCGATTACACTTTGTAACACAATTTTTGTTCCTGGGTAGTGTTATTTCGTAATTGCTTATGCCTAAAAAGTATAGAAAATGGCTCTTATTCGATTATTTGGTTCTTTCGGTTAAGTCACGTCTAAAGATAAAATAATAAATTATTTAATTTAATTTATTATTTTATCTTTAGACGTTATTTAATTTAATTTATTATTTTATCTTTAGACGTGACTTAACCGAAAGAACCAAATAATCATTTACTGCAGTCACGAAAGTTCTAAAATTAAGATTGGCTCTTATTCCCCACAAACTTTGCTTTTGTGACCAGGACAGTGATATTTTGAAATGTACCTATTTTCAATGAGAAAACGGGCGAATTTGTGTCTTTTCGTTCACGTAAAGTCAGAAAAAAACAACATGAATCTAAATTAACATGTATTTATATTAAAATAATCAAAAAATTGTGAGTTTTTCTTGACAGTTGTCACCCACGGGTCAGGACGTGGCCAAAGCAGCCAGGTCGCGGTCATTCACTCAATTTGCCATTTCATTTGGCGCCAGCAGTCACAGCTCGGCACACTCCTTGGGTTTCAGCCATTCATAAAAACCCAACAGATTTATAGTGCAAATGTTTAAAGATAAATAAGTGAAATAAAGCATTTAGCATGACAATATTCAAGCCGTCAATAATGTGGTTTTAATGGGGCTCGAGAGTATTTCTGCTCTCGGACAAGATTCTCTGATATGAGCATATTTCTCCTTCCCAATAAGCCAAATCTCTCGGACCCAGATGTGCTTAATATGTACAGAATCAACATTTCTGATTTTGCTTGTGCTTGGTGGGATTCCAGTCTTGTTCACGATACTATAGAATCTTTGGCGTGCCATTATTCGTCTTTTTACCTTGGGTAGCCATCGGCATGTCCTCCCGTACAATATGAATTTCTCTTGAACCCAAGGCTTGAAGAATGTCCGAGCATCAGGAGCAAGTTTGTGTTATTGAACATGCCGACAGCTGCCTTAGAAAGCCAGATTTCAGTTTGAGTAAACCTAGTTAGGAAATGGAGGCAGGCTTGGGAAATGGAGAGTGAAGCCCGAGTGTTATGTGTGTGTAACGGTGCACAGCATGTGCGATCCCTTGTGGTTTAATTACGCTCTATTAGTTTGTTTGTTTAGTTAATTATGACCAGTGTGTGTGCAAATCCACACATTGCAACCCTGAGATTGTTGAGATCCACAGTTGATGTTTTAAATGTTACACACGAGTCATTGAATAATACAATTTATGTTTTGAGCAGTTATGTAATTTATTTAGATGTTTCGCTTATTGAAATAGATCGAAATATCATTTTCGGAGTCCTGTGCCTTTTAAATTATGACTTTATTTATTTATCAGTGTTATAAGACTGCATGTATTGGTGTTCCTGATTTCAAATACATCCATGTTTTTTGCAACACATCTCTATAATTCCTCGAAAATAACATGAAGCCTCTTCAGCATTGTCTCAGTAATTATGCTTCAGTGCTAATTTTAGTCTGCAAGTCTTAAGGCCTCATTTGCTCATGTAATTTAACTCCAGGTACCTCATTTATGCCATCTCATAGCTAGTGAACATGTGTTTCGGCATCCATATGGAAGGGATTTTATTCTTCTTTCTATTGTGGCTTGAGATTTTTTTCAAATCTTATGACATCATCATTCTTTTGTCCGAGACTTAAAATTTTGAAATCTCATGCCGAGCGATCTTGTGCCGAGTGGCAGGCATCGTTACAATGGTCCTTTCACGTGCATACTACTTTAATCCTTACGTCCTTTTATTCCTTTCTGTTGGATCCCCAGTGCTCACTCCTGTGACGCTCTTCACAACATTGCCATTGACATTGCGAGTCGGCGTCAAGGCCAATGCGCACCGCCCAAGTTGCAGCAAAATATAGTTTGGCCGCAAACGCGTCGCACATAATACGCAAACCTTCTGCTTGTGGTTCCAGGGCTCAGTATTAACGGTGGAGGAACCTGAAAGGCAGTTGAACATTTTTTAAGGAAGTGAAATTGGCATTTTCTTCGAATAAGCTGTTTAAGATGGCATTTTTTAGGGGGTGGGGGGGGGGGGGGGGGACTGTTTGACACCACAGTTGATCATCGATTTATTTTCCGCTCGATTATCTGGCTTCCAACATATCCGGCAGTCCCCGGTCAATCTGGCAAAACCACTGCAAAGGCTGTACTAATCCAGCGATCGGCACCATGTGCGCGACAAAAAAAGCCGCTCTGCTTGATTTCAGTGTAAAATATTATATACTCGCCTTTTGCTCGTCCAAGGACGGGTGTCTTGCAGTAAATCTGAAACTTGCAATCGAAAAGCAGACCGCGACGTGATATTCATTGCATTAATGCGTGGGCAATTTGTAAGGGCGCAGTGACACAGACCTATTTAATTTTAAGGTTATAATCCCTTGTTCATCATGACGTCCTATTTACTTTGATGTCTCAATAGCTTTACGGAGATCGCGTGACGTGAGGGTTCTGCCTTTGTAGTGAGGGTTGTGAGTTGACGCCGAGGAGGGGGGAGGAGGCGCCTCGGCCCCCAATGTGGAGTGACGTCAGCCGCTAATTATTATTAATTTGGGGGGGGGTTCCATTTGGAGGATGTCACCTTATGATTATTAATGAGGGGGGCTGTTCGATGTGGAGGGACGTTATTTGCTCATGATTATTAATGAGGGGGGAGGGTGCTGCATGTGGTGTGATGTTACCCGCTCATGATTATGAATGAGGATGGGTGGGGGGTTGGCCATTTGGAGGACGTCACCTGCTCATTAATATTAATCAGGGGGGCCGGTCTATGTGGAGTGACGTCACGTGCATTAAGGACACATTCCACGGTGATTCTAGTAGGTATAGTGCATTATACACTACATACAAGTGAAACATTGAAAAAACTGCACATATATACATTTTTCATGACTAATAACTCCAGTAGTAAAAACAGAAAATATACGGTGCGATCCGACGAGATGCGCATGGAAATTTCGGCGTTCACATCAGTCCTGCGATCATGAAACACATGGTTGTTGAAATAAGAGCATAATACATACATCACCCCATGCAGAGTCTTCGAGATTTGAGTGGTAAGTACGGTACAGTAAATACAGTAACTTTGTAGAGTAGGACATTTATTTTGTCATTTTGTCTGTTCATTTATGCCAATTTCAAATTGTAAACCAATTTAAAACACTAAAAATCATACACACAACACCTAAAAACATAATGTCATGCAAGGATGTGCAAAAATAAACTATTTTAAATAATGATGTGATTATCCAGCGTTTTCAAGAATCCGGCGCCCCCGTCTCCCCGAAGCCGCCGGATAATCTGATCTCATGTAATTTGAAATTTGAGGGCTACGTGCCATACTGACCATCTATTTCACGGTTGGGATGTCACGTACTGTCAAATAATGACAAAAACAGTGATTGTCTTAAATAGTGCTTTTTTTTACTTCAATGCCACGTGTTGTTATACATATTTTAGGGATTTTAATTCCTGATTAAGATGCTGAAAAATAGAAACATTGTTTCGACTTGTGCAGCATTGTCTTGAGAAAAGTGAATCCTTAAACCAGACAGAGCAAGATTGTGTTTGCAGTGGCGGTGCTGGCTGTGCTTCCATGTCGTAGAAGTTAATTTATTAACTACGATTATATTCGACTAAAAAAGCTGCGGCTGTTTGATATTTTTGGTCAAGAATAATTCACGCACTTAATTATAAAGCTCCTGCTGTTGGTTTTGTAGCTGTTTAAACAGGTCTTCGCTCGAGTAAGTATGGAGATGTTTTATTCGTATAATGTGCTCATTTCTGGACATTTGGCATGCAAATTACATTGTTCCACTAGGGGCTCACAGCAGTCTGTGTGTTATTTGCAAAAGTAAACTGCACTTATAACAGCATTCTGAATGGGTTGCTTATTGGTGTTCTTTTTTGCTTTTGCATCTGATTCAGGTTCTAATCACGGGCCCCGCTGATACCCCGTACGCTAATGGCTGTTTTGAGTTTGATGTCTACTTCCCGCAAGATTATCCCAACTCCCCGCCGCTCGTGAACCTCGAAACAACGGGGCGGAACAGCGTGCGATTCAATCCCAACCTTTACAACGACGGCAAGGCAAGCCTGCACCCCCCTCACCCTCCTGCCCCATACAATCACACTGTTTATTCAGAAATACACACTGTCCTTCTCACCTTGTGACCTGATCAACGTTACGAAAACATATTTGTTTATGTATGGGTTTGTTTGTGTTTTGTGCGTTAAATGGGAAAGAAAGAGTATGGAGGCAGCTGCAGGCAAATAAAAAAAAAATCGGTAGATTTCTTGGTCAGTGGCTTGCTAGTGTTAACGCTCTTGCGCCGTGACAGGCTTGTCCAGCAGAGCCTTTGGGAAGGTTTTTCTGTCACTTTCACTGCCTTCATTAGCTTTCAAAGGTACCTCTTCTGGTCCCACTGGGGACAGATGGTGATTTACTTTCAGCTCTGGCATTAAACATTTCAAATAGGTGAAACATTTTGTTTTCTGCTGTGGTGTGTGGCAATTAGCACAAATCCCGCCACTGGACTGGATATGTGTCTGCTCTAATGAGCAGGATTCTCACCAGATGCAGCTGAAGCTGCACTATTGTTGGCCTCTGAGATCTCTGCACATGATGATACCGCATTTATCATCTGCTGGTCAGGGGGTGTTAATTAGAAGTTGTACAGTGCTAGGATCATTATAGTTTTACGAATTTCCACCCCTGCTATCGCACCATCCACCAAAAATAAGCCCACCTTAATTAGTACGGAATGATCACTGCAGCACAAGAGCTGTTTGCTGGCGCATGAATGCCGTTATCGACGCTCATTTGTCAGGCTTATGTTCCGTGCCGGCACCCGTCGTCCCATTGCAGGTTTGCCTGAGCATATTGAACACGTGGCATGGTCGCCCCGAGGAAAAGTGGAATCCGCAGACATCCAGCTTTCTGCAGGTAAGAGCGCACGATGACATTCCACCCCGCAGGTCAGGCCTCACTGCACCCGCCACAGGCTATTCGGCGCAGCTTATGGGGCTGGCATCTCCACGGGTCTGGGGGCTCGTGCACTGATTATTGCCACCTCCATCCCAAAAACAATGTGCACTTATTTCAGATTACAGTTATTTGCCGATCTAGCCAGTTGCCACTGTGGCAAGAGTGTCGGAAGTTCGTGAGGTCAGGTCTCGGCCAGGGGGTTAGTTCAGCTCCGGGGTTGATAAAAATGAATACCACTTTGTGGCAAGTCAACCGTATTCGTGATATGGTTTGAACGACCCCCATTTATATGAATGTGAACTTTCTATCACTGGCTCTGGGCTGTAAATGGGATATGAGAACTGCCTCATGCTTGTTTTATTGTGAAACCACGTCGTTTTTTTACTTCTATATTATGTGGGACTTATGCGTTGTCAGATCTCATAGTGAGTGGCCTTAAAAAGATGGGGAGGAACCTAAAGAAGCCGTGGTTTTACGGTGTTCCCAGGCAGCATTTGATAGCGAAACATAATTAGTGGATTAGGCTTGCATTTCAATTTCTGCTCAGGATGGCAGAGGCTGGCAGTAGGCCTACCATGCTCTGGGTAAACACAAAAAAGCACTTGCAGAGCAATGGAAACCAACTCAGTAGGCGTGTAAATCACATTTCTCGGCGCTTGTGGCAGGAGTGTGCGGTGAATTTTGGTGAGGTGCACTAAGCCGGTGTTTGTGGGTTTTGAGAAAGCCGTGGGCAGAGAGCAGATTGAAGCGAACAGATTGACGGTAGCCAAGCTGGTTGCAGAGTCTTCAAGAGCTTTATAGTTACTGTTTGTTGGTTCTTGGGGTATTTAAAATAACTATATTTTTTCTAAGTTGAACTGTCAAACTTTTAAATATATGTATTACACTTATAAATATTTTAGTGATTATATTTCTTTTATGCATAAACAGTATAAAAGTCATAATTTGTAATGTGTTATTTTTCAAGAGGTCGGAATATGATAATTTGTAATGCGGTTGGTGAAGACAATGCCACTAGCTATTGCGCTAATATGTCCTGAAATATTGTCTCCATGGCTGCCACCAGCAGCTGCCACAGCCGAAGACCCTGTGGGCAGACAAACGGAGTTGAACGTTAACAGCTGCTCCGAAAGGCGTTTATTTGACTTGGCGAATTTAGTTATTATAATGCCTGAGTTGACATTCGAGAGCCATCTCACAGCACCTTAGCTTGCATTCACGGAGACAATGCTGACATGGAGAAGAGTTCCACGGTTTCATTAAGCTCCTATATTTTAGAATGTCACGTGTTTTTAATTGAATTCACGAGCAAAGCACTTCTCATAAAAAAATGTATTTCGTGTGTTAAACCTGTGTACAGTGCTAAAAAAAATGTGTTCACAAAACGTTGGCCTTCAATTGAACTAGGATTCGATTAAGCCTCCTGTGATGGAGGCTTAGAGCATTTCTATTTGGTATCGCATAACCAGGCTGACTGACATTTTTAATTATAAATGCATATTCCCTCTAGCCTTCGCATAAGAGAGGGGCCAACGTGATTGTTATGATTTCAAGGTTTATTATCTCATAACCTACACTGCAATAACAGAAGATGGGTAATAAGGTTTTACATTTTGTCGATACATGCAAATTATTTCCCAAGAGTATAAATCACAGAGGTCTCTTTATGGTAGCGATTCCAACATCAAGCAGTGTAATATATTTCGTTATTTGTCTTCACAGTAAAAACTGTATTTTTTCTCAACCATTCTTATGGTTTAACAGGAGAGAAAGATTGTCTCGGAGGTGACGGCAATCTAAACCGAGTCAGTTGAAGACCAAATCCCGGTCTTCAGTTTAATGTGGCACCCAATGAATGTAACAAACGGTGCCGTTTGAGAAAGGGACATCAGGGCGGTTGAGCTGTGAACATTGGGGACCTGAATTCTTGCAATTAACATCCTTGCTTGCCATATGATGACCATGTTATCAGATGTTTATCTGAGCATAATACATGCTCAGGTAAATCAAAACATTGCCTTTATCTTTGTCTTCATAAACAATTAATTTAGTTTAGTATAGTATGCACTTTAACACGTAGGCTTCGCGACCAATATTATTCATAATTAACGTTTTTGGGTTAGATCGCGTTATTTATAAATGTGTCGTAACCCTCCACCACCCGACTTGGCCAATCATTTGTGAAACCACAACATTTACAATTTGTAAATGTTGTGGTTTCACGCTTCAACACACCGGTGGGCTAAAGCAGTGAACTAATTGTCTTTTGTCAACGTGACACTTTTTTGCTGATTGGCCGTGTCGGGTGGTGGAGGGTTACGACACATTTATAAATAACGCGATCTAACCCAAAAACGTTGATTATGGATAGTATGCACTCTTTAGGATGTGAATAAATATTTGTGTTTGATTTTGTCACACCTGGTCCATGCTTTGTCCCCCTCCCCCGTGCTCCTAGCCATGCTTTGTTTTGTCTATCTGTGGTGGTGTTCGCACATCCGATGAGCACGGTTGGCTACGGACATTGTGAAAGAGGTTCTACATACATGCATAGGTTCTTCTACATTTTTTATGATGTTCATTTTGTTTTTAAAGATGGTGGGTCAAAATTCTAAGTGTTTTTGAGATGCAATCTGCATGAATGACATTACATAACAACAAAATATACTGATTCATATTAGACACACGAGTTGATTGTGGATGTGAGTGTATCTGAGGCCAACTCCTCCAGCCATTATCAACTCGCTCCGAGTCTTATATTAGGGGTATCCTCACAAGGCCAATTGAGGAACCATATTCTTGACAAGATCATTCTTTCTTCACTGATTGACCTATTACAACTTGCAGCAGCATTACAGATCATTGTCTGCTGATGGTGACAGATTCGGTTTTGTATTTATTACAAATGTATATATTTTTTTGCATCTCATCACCGTGCTTTAGCTTGGCTGAGTGAGTCATTTTGTCTTATCATTGCGAGTACAAGAATATGAATGGGTTTAGATAATGCCAAAACTAATTGGACGGCTATTAATAATATCTGGTGATACTAAGAAAGGTACAGAAAAGTACAGTTCATATAAGTTACCATTGCCTGCCTACTGAATGGATTATATATGTAATACTGTAAAGCTCTCCAGCTATATTTTTTTCACCTGATAACGATTGCTTGTGTTGCAAGCAATCGTCGGGATATATTTTTTAAAAATAATTTTTCTATCTACGTGGCTTTACCGAAAGACCTAAAGAATACTTTAAAGCATCTTTTATTCCCAACATTCACTAAAGGAAGTTACCTTACAATGCACAATAATTGATTATGTAAAAAGAAAGCAGAGCAGTTAGGTCATGCGTGTGTGTCGCAGTTACATTGGGCACACTACTCTGGGATTCCCTTCGTAGATGTATGAAGTTTTAGGGAATGTATATATTTGCGACATGCTTCTCTTTAAGGATCTCTACGAATGATTTGCTTTTGTTCTTCTAGCCAGATTCACAACATTTTGCAAATTGTAGGGATTTGTGGTTGAAAGGCTGCAGCATAATGAATAAATTCAAATCGATTGTGGAATTGATTCTTGAAGAAGCTTTTGAGCCGTTAAATGGCTAACACTATCTGGAATTGATTCCATGCATTGCGTTTATTTGCTGCTAGCAAATATTTTGTAAAAGGGGTCTGAATACTGCCACGTATTTGTTATGTGAGCGTTTTAGGTGCATCTGACCAATGCTAGGTCACCAAATTCATAGGGAGGGGGGAATGTAAATATTTAAGCCCTGGATTCTGAAGTTATATCAGTAAGAGATAAGCACAGTAGTCCTCAAACACTAGGCTTCACACTCCTTATGTCCAGACATGTGAAAGCAATGTGATAAGCTTGTGAAGGCTCAGAGCTTTCGAACAGATGTTTGAGAAACACCAGTAAAGAATTGCTTTAATTGAGATCCCATCTTTTACATTAATGTGACACCTTTATACCTTTTGTTACCCTTTTAAGTATGTCCCAATAATTTTTTGTTCGTTATAAGTACAGTACTCCTCTGGTGGAAGAGTGGAGTGAGTCTTTGTGCATACTAGTAAACTTACGAATACACGTTCATGCATTGTGTGCAGCCTGTCTGGGTGAAAATCCATTCTTTTTTTTCTGTACCATGTCGCCCTTCTTATCTTGTTGCCGTCAACCTTCCCCCTCTTTTCGACAGGTGCTGGTGTCCGTGCAGTCACTTATCCTGGTGTCGGAGCCGTACTTTAACGAGCCAGGCTATGAGCGGTCACGCGGCACGCCCAGTGGCGCGCAAAGCTCTCGCGAGTATGACGCCAACATCCGGCAGGCGACGGTCAAGTGGGCCATGCTAGAACAGATCTGCAGCCCGTCGCCCTGCTTCCGGGAGGTGAGCACCACCTCCCTTACCCCCCCCCCCCCCCTCCACACGATCGAGATTCTTGACATTATTTCGGCACCCAGGAAAAGCATGAGTGTTACCTTCATGAGTGGTCACAGTATCTTGCCATTTTGTTTAAAATGGCCAGACCTTTATTCTCTGCGGAGTATGCAGTGATGGATTGAATGTCTCGAAAGCATCCTTATGGTGTGTTGTTTTTGTAGATTTTTTTGCAGAATATGGAGTGCCCTTTTTTGTGTAACCTATTACAAAGTTGGTCGTTGAAAAATGTTGTATTAATGTTTTGGCCAGAATTGCTGTAGCGGTAGGCATTCCCGGTAATGCAGTTTACTGCTTGAGAGAGGCTAATCTGGAGTCTCTGTGGGGGGGAAGGGTGTTTGCTGCCAGGCATGCTGTTTTTTTTGTGAAATAGCATGAGGCTCGCAAATGAATGTGTGCCTGGACTATTGGGTTTATATTAACACTCCTCACAGCCACATCAACCCGAGATTATTTTGTGTATAACCATGCGATAAGGCCTTGCAATGAGCACACGGGGTAGTGATTTTAGTACAGAATCAAGATGTGTCATCTTCGGGATGGGTTTTCTTCTCGTGGGTTTTTTTAAAGCCCGTAGCCTCAATAAAGACTTTTAGTGCCTATCTTAGGGAGGGGACATCAATTTGTGCTTTATGTTGATTTTAAATACTGTTGCAAAGAGAACCCAAAATGTACTTGAGGCTTACACAATAGATACCCTGTAGCTTGAAATGAGTTGTCCAAAATTAGTTTATCAGTATTGATGATTTTTGCATGATTGTGAATTATTTGCATCTATAAAATGTCATTAAATATGCCTACCAGGAAGTGTCGTATTGGCGATGCCGGTTATTCGTTGAGAGTTTTCACGCTAGATGTTACAGATGCAACTCGGATCTCTTGAATATATTTTGTCCAAGCTTCTAAACAGGACCCTTTGTCAGAACCTTGGCTGATGACATGAAACATCTGGTGCAATGTTTGCGGTGCTGCAGTGGAAATTGGCTCCAGGGGATCGTCAAAGGCCAGATTTTTTATTTAAATCAGAATTGTAGGGTAGACTATAAAGAATTAATGTGGCCCACTGTTTGTGTTTCAGAGGCTTTTTTTCTTGCTTTCATAACATCTAGCAGGGCATTTTTCAAATTGACAATTTTAACTGAAAGCATTTTATAAACATGTTTTACAATAAATGTAATAATTTCACCCCACTGAAGATTTCCCTTACCATACAAGCTTGGTCAGTGTGAAATTATGCTGCCTGTGTGCACAACCGTAAGGATGTTGAGCAGCAGAGCTCTTGAAAAATATTTTACACAAAAAGGAATGACATACAAATTTATGGCGCTGAATTGCTTAACAAAGGATGGAAACCAGATGCACTGATGGCTGGGAATAATGCCCATTCTTTCTCTTAAGTCTAAGTCGCAAAAGCATTCAAAAAGAATCCACTCTCAGCAAGATTGCTTTTCGACTTTTATTAAATGCGTATTGGAAAAAATACGGAAATGCAGTAGATAGAAAAAAATATCGTCTGGCAGCTGAGTAGGTAAATAAATAAACAAGCAATGAAAATAAATAAATGTAAGTTATAATTTTATTTCTCTATAACAGTAAGCGCCAAATCAAAACTGACGCAGGCTTTTAACCAGTTGAGAAAATGTCAAACGTGGGTGGTGCAGTGTAGGCATAAGCGGCGGTTGGCTTAATGACCAGAAAAATGTGGTTTTTACTTTGTAGCGGCTCCAAATGTACTCATTAAACTTGCGTATTTTTTGCTAATTTCTACATTTTCCTTGTGCACCTTAATCACCTTCGGGGTTCCACTATTCTTGGTGTTACATGGTCCATAAGTATTTTTCTGTCTGTTAATCTCTGTATCAGTGTTTAATTAATAGAGCCTTTAAATGAAATGTCTTCATTACCTTACGTAATGCAAGTGTCAGTATTTTTAATTGCTAGGGCATTATGCACTTCACGAGTGGCAAGCATTGAATTGATAGCGTTTGCTGCTCTTTGTAATACATTAAAAAGCTGCAGTGTGAAAAAAGCATTGATATTGTTTCGAAAGATATAACACAAGTAGTGGCTCATCCCTTAAAGTATACGGTGAATTTTTGATCAACAATGCGCACAATGGTATGCAATTGGGTCTATAATCTTCTAGTTCTAATGTGTGTTGGCTGTGTTTGATGTTTTTTAAAATAACGTCCAGACAGAACACAAAATCTACTGGCTCGTTGCACATTTACAAATTTAGCAAACCATATTACGCATGTTTTATATTCCAAAGTGATGTTGGCTGTTTATCCTCATTTTGCTAGCATTACAGATTATTCATGTGCACAATATGCTTAGTTCATCATATGCACAATATGCTTAGTTAATTGATCATTCACAATTTACCTTGGTTAGTTATGGTCAATCATGTGAAGACATGCTTTATAACAATATAATAAACAGCCATTGGTTGCCACGGCTGACCAGGCCACTGTAATGATCAACCAAATGGAACAGCAGTGGTGCTAATCTCTTTCATGGTGCTTTTCAGCACCCTAATTGGATACTGTTAATTAGCCATCGTGGAATATCATGGTGATTAACAATGTATTGAAATCACCCAAGTTGTACATGCCTTAATTTTTTCAGTGTCTTAAAATGTTAATTGCATTTACTTGCTTTGTAAATGCAATTTGTTTTGCACGAGTAACCTGTTCCAACAATGACAATTTTCTTATAACAGGACATTCCCATTCTAGTTGCTTTCTTGGCTAATTTAGCATTGCTTACCTCTTACCTGTAAAGGCCACTCACTATTTCTGGATGTTTAGCGTTCATGAAATTCTGTTTTCAAATCATCTCGCTCCTAATATAAAAAAAACTGCCCATTGGCACTTTGTTTGGCTGTGCAAGCTTTGAGCCCTGCTGTGGCTGTAATTGTGTGTCGGTCGGCAGTGAATAATTCGGAGTTCATCCGAAGATGTTCACAGGAATGATAATTTTTTTTTATTTTTTTAAGTAGACAACATTTTTAGTATTATGTTCTTGACATAAAGAAGTTAGCTTGCATTTTTAAAAAAGACTGCTGGATACATTAGCATAATGTTGCATTTCATTAATAGTGAAAGACAAGCCTTGCACGCCATAGAAGTTGGGTTCATGCACAGAGCTAGTTTGCAAATCCCAGACCGCAGCACTAATTAATGAACTGTGTGCATTTTGCCTGGAGGGTTGCAGCCCAGCACACCCCTTATTAAGCGCGCTTGCTCGCTGATAAGACATGAAGTCTGTGACGCTGGGCAAGGGCCACTGTGCTGCAGTGGGAATGTTCAGGGTACTGCCGCGTTAGTTAAGGCCCACATCTGGTTGGCGGAGGGCAACACTCTGAGAAGGCCACACACAACCCGTGTGCCTTTTAACGTAAAAATTTGATCGGACCGAAGATTAAAACGGTGAATATCTTGTTGCGGCAAGCGAATACTATTTTCTCATCACATAGCATCACATTTGTACTCAAAGTTGACGGTTTGATTATGCAGTTAATATAATGAACCAATGCAGAATTCCCATTGAGTGAGGTGAGTGGCGCACTTGGCTGCCAACCCACTCTGCGGTGTTCATCGTTGGTATGGTGGTGATGCTGGTTGTCGGGCAGACTTTTTATATAAGACACTTATTGATATATGTTTTAAAGTCAGACTTATGAATCTACAATTGAGCGACACATTTATTGTAATACGACACGTGTGAAAGCTCATAGCCAAAAGATAATAAATCTGTCCCACACGTAACAATTTTCCCAAAAATTTCTAACCTTAATTTAATGTATGCTTGTCAATAGTCTGTATTAATATTGCATTTTGAGTAGTCAAGGATTACCGTATGTATAGCTAACAAAATTGAAATCACATTTATAATATCAAATAGGAGCACATGTTTCATGATTGTAATTCAGCCCCCAAAATAAATAAAACGATGAAACATCTATGCCGATGTGAAGCCTACCTGCAGTGCAAACAATGCCTTCCTGCACTAACCCTGACCCTAAAAACCTAAAACAACAGACCGTGCTCCTCTCAAGGGGATAGACCCCACCGAAATAGAAATGCAATAAAAATATAAATGGACGTTCAGCACTGGCACAGCCAGTACTGCGCAAAAGCATCGCGCTCACGTTGGTGAACTTTAATCCCAGACTCATAGGCTGAACTGCCATTCATGTGATGATGCCCCCATGTGCCTTGCTCGTCCGGAAAACAGCTTTGCTTTGGGTCATTGCTGTACTCGGGTACCTTTTATGAGCTCACTTGTTGAAAGTGCATTTCACATTTTATTTGATACGTCTTATTTCCGTGTCACATGGTACTTTTTACACAGTGTGCCGTGTCAAACGGGAATCTCAGCCTGACGCGAAGCGTTAACCGGCGGCGCTTGCCGGAAAGCAAGTTTCGCTGTGACCCTGCTTCCTTTCGAAGCCCTTGGCGTTTACTTTCCCCTTAATTTCATCATCTGCTGGATGAAGGGCCTTCCCACATCTCCATCTCTCGTGGTCCTGCGATGCCACACTCGTTCATGCTTTTGCACACATGCTGATCTCATCTCCCACCTCTGCAGCGGTCATCATCTCGGGAATGTTTCTTCCTTCGCCTGTCATTCTATCACCAGTTTTCCAATGGCTGTCAATCCTTATTGTAATGTCCTCTCTAAGCCCATACCTTTATTAACAGTCGATATGTCTCCGATTTTAATAGGTCCTCTACTTTTACATCTTCATGGCCTTTCAGTAGGATTGTATTACTGAATTATCTTTGAATTGTAGCATCCCTTTCATCTGCAATGAACTACAACGAAAACTGCATATGAAATGGACATGGCAGCAAATATTACGTGGCCACTTCCATTGCCCTTCATCAGAATAACGTGGGAAAATGTTGTTGTCAAGTTGCCCATGGAGATGGGATGCCATTCTG